CGCCCTCCCAGACCACGCCCTCCCAGACCACGCCCTCCCAGACCACGCCCTCCCAGACCACGCCCTCCCAGACCACGCCCTCCCAGACCACGCCCCTGGGCTGGCTGACATCACCCTATTCTGCTCTGATCCCTTATTGTGTAACGTGCGTTCCCTGGGGGCTAGCATGATTTTAAGGCACAAGGATGCTTTTTGAACTTCCCTAATAATGGCCAGCTTCGCGGATTGCCCTCTGCTCCCAGTGGCCAGACTAGAGAGTCCTGCTCAGGGAGATTCCTGCTGCTGGCATCTGCCCACCAGATGCGGGTTCTGCAGGCCTGGGTGACATTGCCCTGTGATGCTGGCCTGAGACCCCAAGGCCAGGGTCTGCGTCCAGATTCCCCACCCAACGAGGAACTAACTCTAGTGGCTCATTCAATGCTCTGGGAGGCCTTCCAGACCCGGTGACTGGTGTGACCCGTGATGGCTTGGAGGCCTGCCTGTTTTCAAAACTAACACTGAAAATTAGCCACATGCAGTGGCGYCCGCCTGTCCCATCCCAGTGACTTGGGAGGCTGAGGCAGGAGGATTTCGAATTAAAAGCCAGCCTCAGCAACTTAGTGAGGCCCTAAGCAAYTCAGCAGGACCCTGTCTCTAAAGAAAATAAAAAGTAGAGCTGGGGACAGGGCTCAATGGTCGAGTGCCCCTGGGTTCAATCCCTAGGACCGAAACAAAAGCCAAGGCGGGTGGTTTTGCTCTTGGCTGGCTTACTGGAATTTTTGGAGGAGCCTAGAACAAGCTCGTATTTGGCTAGCCCCAGACCAGTGGGGGGGGGGCTCTCGGTCCCCTGCTTCCACCTCCTCTGGAAGGTCTGGTGCAGGTGTTCTGGGTCGGAGAGCACGGCCTGGGGCTAGGTATGCTGTCGGGTCCTCTGCACAGGAGCAGAACTTGTCCCTTTGTGGGAAAGCAAGGTGATACTATTGGTCATGAGGAAGGCTTTTCTGTTACCTTGAGCCTGCTGTAACYGGGTCACCAAAAAAAGTCACACATGATCTCCTGCTGAAAAAAGTCCTTGGAGAAGCTTGCTTTGAGGTAGATTCTGGTCTGGTTACATATTGGTAATAATCTCTGCCTCGGGCCAGGTGCGGTGGTGCACCCCTGTCATCCCAGCAGCTCGGGAGGCTGAGGCAGGAGGATCGCAAGGTGGAGGCCAGCCTCAGYAMAGGCCAGATGCTAAGCAACTCMGKGAGACCCTGTCTCTAAATAAAATAGAAAAAGGTCTGAGRATGGGGCTYAGGGGTTGGGTGCCACTGAGATCGATCCCTTCTACCCCCCACCCCCCAAATAAATAATCTCTGCTTCAGATTTTAAACGTGGCGTGTGTCATTAGGTGTCTGTTCAAAGCCAGCGGCTGCCTCCTGGTATGACTTCATTAAGCCAAATAACAACCACTAAATAGAGAAGGACCCGAGACTACTGTGGTATTTTTAGAATCGTGGAGCGATCTTACTCCTGGAGCTTATTTTAGAAGGAGCGTATTTACTGAGGTCCTTCTGGGAGGGRAAGGAATAATGCCCGGTTCTGTCGCCGGAGTTGCCTGAACCAGAACTTACCAGCAGCTTTTCAGCATCTGGTGCCCATCTGTGTCCGGCTTTTGTTTGTTTATKTCTGTTGCTGAGCTGCGGGTGGCACCCGGGCTTCATGCGTGCCAGGCAGCAGCTCTGCCACTGCGCCCCACCCCCAACCCCACCCTGGATCTTTAGCCCAGCAGAAATCGACATTTTCCAGTGTGTCATGAAGGGATGTTTGGGGACAGGGGCCTTGGTGCCTTGCTCTTGTGAAGCTGCAAATATCGGTGGCCCACGCCTGTCATCTCAGTTTGGGAGGCTGAGGCAGGAGGATCGCAAGTTAGAGGCCAGCCTCAGCAAATTAGGGAGGCCCTGAGCCACTCAGCGAGACCCTGTCTGTAACTAAAATATAAATAACAAGGGCTGGGGACGGGGCTCAGGGGTGAAGCACCCCTGGGTTCAATCCCTGGTACCAAAAAAAGAAGCTACAGGTGCCACCATCAGTCAGACCCTGTCCCTCCTGTGTGACTGAGACTCGTGCTTTTTCTCCCTCAGCGTTGGGAAGACGTCACTCATGAACCAGTATGTGAACAAGAAATTCAGTAACCAGTACAAAGCCACGATAGGGGCCGACTTCCTGACCAAGGAGGTGATGGTGGACGACAGACTAGTCACCATGCAGGTGAGCCGCTGCCCAGCCTCCCCGGCCCCGCCCCTGTTGGCCACACCCCGTGGATCATGGGCCACAGCTCGTGTCCCTGGGGGAAATACCAGGTGGCAGTTGAAACCCAGTTTCCTGGGAGTGTGGGGACAGCCCCAGGCCTGAACCTGGGGACCTTGCCCTCTCTCAGGGAGCTGCCCTGCGGCCCTCAGTGTGAATGTCACACTGCACAATAAGACACCACGGAATGGCTCGTCRTTGTTTGGAAACTCACATTGAACTGGGTGACTTTTTGTTTGCTCTGAGTCTCTGCGCTGGCTGCCTTCCCAGGCCCTGCCTGTGTTTCAGCCTGTCTCCAGCTCAGCTCTTTTCTGGTCCCAGGGATTGAACCCAGGGTGCTTAAGTAGCTGCTGCCATCGCAAGCACTGACCTCCATGCCCAGCTCTAACTGGTCTCTTCACATCCTCAGTAAGCTTAGGTCCGAACTCTTTGGGTTTCCTGCCAGGCTCAGGGGTGCACACCTGTCATCCCAGCAGCTCGGGAGGCTGAGGCAGGAGGATCAGGAGTTGGAGGCCAGCCTCAACCACTTAGCATGGCTGGGAATGGGGCTCAGTTGGTAGAGCGCTTCCCTTGCATGCACAAGGCCCTGGGTGCCACACAAAATAAACAAATAAAACAAAGATATCGTGTCCAACTACAACTAAAAAATAAATATTTTTTTTCAAAAAGCATAAATCATCGAAGGTCTGCCGTTGACAGTAGATTATAGCGAACACCTAAATAGTAAGATTGCCACCCAGCAGAACCCGCGCATCGTGACAGGGGGTGCCGGTCCCCAAATGGCAGGCTTTAACTGCCAATGGCCTGATGGTTGCTGAGGCTGGCCTCCCACTTTCCATCCTCCGGCCTCAGACTCCACAGTTACTAGGTGGCAGGCGTGCGCCACCACCCCCGGCTCAGAATGGCACATTTAAACAGCTAACGAGTTTGGGGGAGCATGGAGGGAGGACATCGTCAATTGATGGGGGTGACGAATCATGCCGTCCCAGGCTGCAGGGTGGAAGGTGCCCTTACCCCGCAGCCCAGCGGTTCCAGGCCTCTGTATGTGGCCCAGGAGACTCACCTCCAGGCACACGAGGAGCAGGTAGCATGCAGAYGCAGTGGGGTGCTGTGTAGCCACTGACCTTGGCAGATGGGGACAGGACACAGGTGGCACCAAGACAGTAGGGTAACTCTGTTTGCCTAAGGTATTTACTTCGGAGGAAGAAATGCCTTTTTTTTTTTTTCTTTTAATAAAATGCTGCTGTTTGTCACATCAGGGCTGCAGGTGTAGAGTCCTGGGTCCCGTGCCCATCACYGCAAAAATAAATGGCTTCTGTCACAGTTTGTCGGGAGGTGACCTGTGGGTATGATACTGAATGGAGAGTAGTCCCAGCAGCTCAGGAGGCTGAGGCAGGAGGATCGCAAAGTGGAGGCCAGCCAAAGTGGAGGCCAGCCTCAGCAATTCAGTGAGACCCTGTCTCTAAATAAAATGTAAAAAGAGCTGGGGACGGGGCTCAGGGGTTAAGTGACCCTGTGTTCCATCCCAAGTACCCTCAAAAAAAAAGTGCAGGTGGAAATGTACAATTCACGAGTTGATTGATTTCCGTCACCCCCAGACGACACAGGTCTGAGGCCTACGGCTTGCATTTGACACCGTTCTATCCACGCGTGTAACCAACAGAGTCCCCAAGCATCAGACTCAGCGTCCCCTCCTTGGTAGCCCCAGTTTTCAGGGTCATTTTGGACACCGCGGTGTGAAATTCTGCTTCCTGAACCCCAAGTTCATGGATGGTGGTGGGTGGCCCCCATCGGGTCCCTGTCTCCCTGCTCTTGGTGCTCAGCCCCTGTGCTCCCTGCAGATCTGGGACACTGCCGGACAGGAGCGGTTCCAGTCCTTGGGCGTGGCCTTCTACAGGGGCGCCGACTGCTGYGTCCTGGTCTTCGACGTGACGGCCCCCAACACCTTCAAAACCCTCGATAGCTGGAGAGACGAGTTCCTCATCCAGGCCAGCCCCCGGGACCCCGAAAACTTCCCCTTCGTCGTCCTGGGGAACAAGATCGACCTCGAAAACAGACAAGTGAGTGCTGGGGACGGCAGGGGTCCCCACCGACGCTCCCTGGGGACCTCGAGGGTCTGGGAGGTCCTTGGCTGAGGCCAGAAGGGTTTTGGCAGGTGCTGGCAGAGGGTTCAGAGACAGGGTCTGTCTGAGGGGCTCACGGCCTCACTAAGTGGTCGAGGCTGGCCTCCACCTTGCGGTCCTCCTGCCTCAGCCTCCAGAGCYGCTGGGGACGACCGACCCTGAATCCGAATCCCGGAGCTGGCTCCATCTAAGGTGTCCTGACCCCTTCAGTGTTCACGGGGGCGGAGTGAAGTCGTGAGGGGGCGGGACTGCAGGATTCTGTGGCCCAGGGGACACCACCTCAGGACAGGCGGCTCGGGAGGCCCCAGGAGAAGCCCCTCGTGCCCCCTCCTCACCCCTGGGCTGGCTTCTTGCTCCTCCCACAAGTGACTTGAGTGGAGCCAGGTCACCAACTACCCACGGGCGCCGCAACTGGCTGAGGTGGCGGGGCCGAGCGCTGAGTCAGGTRCGCTGCTGTCCCGCAGGTGGCCACGAAGCGCGCCCAGGCCTGGTGCTACAGCAAGAACAACATCCCCTACTTCGAGACCAGTGCCAAGGAGGCCATCAACGTGGAGCAGGCCTTCCAGACCATCGCAAGGAACGCGCTCAAGCAGGTACCGGGGTGGGGGCCTCTCTTGGGGATAGCCAGGGACCCTGTGTTTCCGCCCGGGGAGGGGTCATCGATGTGCTCTGCTTAAGCCGCCAGATTCCACTGTTTTGCGAATCATCTAAAACTTGCCAAAGACCTGGAGCAGGGGTGCCCACCTGTCACCCCAGAAGCTCTGGAGGCTGAGGCAGGAGGATCCCAGTTGGAGGCCAGCCTCAGTACTTTATCAAAGCCCTGAGCAACTCAGCGAGACCCTGTCTCTAAATAAAGTCTAAAAAGGGCTGGGGACGGGGCTCAGGGGTCCAGTGCCCTCTGTGGCTCTGTTCACTGTGCCAGTCTTCGGGTGGTCTGTGGCCACTGGACCCGTTGAGCCCCTCACCCCCTTTTTATTCGTTTGTTTATTTATTTATTTAGGGGCCAGGGATGGAACTCAGGGGCACTTACCCACTGGGCCCCGTCCCGGCCCTTTTTTAATATTTACATTTACAGACAGGGTCTCGCCGAGTTGCCACACTCTCASCTTTGCTAAGTGGCTGAGGCTGGCCTCCAACTTGCGATCCTCCTGCCTCAGCCTCCCAAGTAGCAAGAAGGATTTACGTGTGCCACCGCACCTGGAAAGTTGGGGRTTGAAGAGGGGTGGGGGACTGAGAGGGCAGGGAGCCTTCTGGCCAGAGTGGCCTGGTCTCTGTATGCTCTGTGCGCCACTGCCACCTGGTGCCCTGAGGGGACCCCAGAGCCACAGGCCCTTGGAGCGTGGCCCTGCGTCACCAGCGCTCTCCCCTGCCCAGGAGACGGAGGTGGAGCTGTACAACGAATTCCCGGAGCCCATCAAGCTGGACAAGAACGACCGGGCCAAGCCCTCGGCCGAGACCTGCAGCTGCTGAGGGGGGCGGCGGGCGCCAGCTCAGAGCCCTCTCCCCAGGACACACAGGCCTTCACCCCCGAACAGCAGGGCCCTCTCCCCGCTGCCACCAGAGCCCACCCCGTCACCCCGACACACACACACACACACACACACACACACACACCAGCCCACCTCGGGGCGGCTCCTGGGGGGGCCCGCGGCCTCCCGTGAGCCCTCGCGGCAGCAGGACAGGCCCCCCACTCCGCCCTGGCCAGCGCCGCCCGGGAAGCTCCCCGATGTCGCCCACTGGAGAGGGGCCTGTTTACAGTTGATCTGTGTCTCATGAGTCACCTGATTTTTTTAAAGGTCSTGTGGTCCCCCACCCCCACCCCAMRGSYYCCCMGGKYSGSYKGKKSCMMC